ATGCCAGTTACAGACTGCTTTAAGGTTGACAGGCCATCCACCTTTGTCGTGAGCTTTGACAACTATTGCTTATATCTGCAAATTGTTTGCTCATTGTGCTAGTGTGACCACTTCGGCGTGCCGGGCATCTAAGATTCTCATTTTCTTCGTCTTTTGTTTTATACACGCGTTCGGTTACCTCCGCACATATTCCTAAATGATTGTATTGACGGCCTTCCACACATGTCAGGCATGACCACTTAATCTTGGCGAAAGTCCTGATGACAGGACAGGCAGCTGTCAGCAGCTGAGGTAGCCATTAAAACGATCAAGTTGTATTCTAAGGGCAGCAGGGCACCAGCAACAAAAGGGGAAAATGCAGCCAAGTCAAAATTTAGAACTGACTTGCGTAGGTAAGCACATGGGAATATGTTCGGACGAACACGCTGCTGGCACTGCTGACCGAAGTCATCTCTGTTGGCATGTGTTTTTTATTTTCTATTTTGCGATGGTTTCTTGTCCAGCTGATTCACTCTGGCTGCATCTGCATAATTTCCTCGGGAAAAGGTCCACTCGTCACAGCCAACTCGTCATAGGAAAACTGGTCATAGGTGAACTGGTCAAAGAGGGCATCTCGTCCTAGGTGATCCCGTAGCACAGAGAGTGGTCGCATTGACCTTCTCGTCGCAGGAAAAGTGGTAAAATGTTGTTAGTTCGTTCGTCACAGTTCTTACTTCTTTTTTTAGCTTGTTCGCTAAACAGTCTACCGTCCCAGAAGGTAGTGTTATCTTTCGCTGTGACGTACCCCTCTCTTTTATTGTAAGTACTCTTCAGAGTTGCTTTTAGAGGCCAAATTTTTGTAGGGGGAATTCTAAGGTTTAATAGAAGGCATGTTTTTGTTGAACCATTTAAGACGAACGTGTTGAAATCTAGATACTTAAAATTGAAAGATAAAACACGAAAGACGAAAACGAGACAACTCATTTTTATTTAGCAACGACGTCTGATAATGTGAACAAAGATTCGGGCTATGCCCCAGATCGGTTGTAGGAAAAAATGTCCCCGGAAAAAAAAAAAGTCCCAGAAAAAGATGTCCCCGGAAAAAAGTCCCCGGACAAAATGTGTCCGGAAAAACAGGCCGCAGGTCGAAAGTAGGAAAAAATGTCCCCAAAGGATTCTCTATCTCTGGGTTTCCCTGATCCTCATGACCTTTGGGCGGTCCGGTCATATGTCCTTAAGGAAAAAAGGCACCCTGTGGCAAGTAGGAAAAAAACGGCTCCAACAAATAAGGAAATATACTATTCCCCGTAGTACACGTCGCGACACTGTTAGCGAATACATCGGCGCATTTTCACATTTTACTTAGAAAGAGTATTAGTGGGAACGAAATTTTACCCTCTGCATTATATCTCCAAATGAGAACTTTCAGTACCTACGATAACTTTGATGACAACCTTTCATTTCTATAAAAAAAAAAGAGAGAAAAAAGAAAAAAAAACTAGCGATCGCTTGTTTGTGCTAACAGTGTCGCGCTTTTTACCTATTTGATGATGGTCCACAAGTGCCTCTCAAATTTTCCCAAATACAATAATTAGGCTTTGACTAGAAGTGTTATAGATGTTTATTTCACAATGGAAAAAAAAAAAAAAAAAAACAGATGACATGCAATGTTACAAAATCAGGAATAAAATGACTCACTCTAGATTCCTACACAGAAGTTAAAAAGCGGATTGTACGGCCGACGGCACCCATGAAATCTTCGATTCCGATCGCCCCAGCGGCGTACCTTTTGCAGAGGCTGTGAAGATTGTGTTGCATTTCGATGAGTGTGGACTTGCACCTCTTCTTGGGAAGAGATTCGATCCTGGGCTATAAACCTTTGGGAACATTTTTTCCTACTTTCCACGTGGGACCTTTTTTTCCGGGAAGATATTTTGCAGGGACTTTTTCTCCGGGTACATTTTTTTCGGGGACGTTTTTTCCTGGAACATTTCTTCCGGAACCCCCCGAGATCACCCTGATATGGGGGTGTTAACGAGGGGGGTGAACCGGGAACCGGGAAAGGTGGAGGGGGAACGAGGGGGCAAGGGCGGAGGGCCCATGACTCTCCAATTTCTATGGGGATCCGTGCCTGTCCAATTTCTACGTGAAGTTGCACATTTTATCATGTTCCGACCTGAGAAATGTCACTTCACGTCTTGATAGAGGGAAGGATGCCGATGAGACATTCTTTTTTGCTTTCTCGGTGAGGAAAAACTCGGTGATTTCGCGTCCATAGCCGCCTCAGCGTCCCCCATTTATCTTCGTGCCGGCAAAGACAGGTGCGCACCCGAAGCGCTCTTTTGCGTGAACCTTCGTGCTTTTATTCGACTGCTCTCTTTTCTTTTTTGATTACCGGTTTAAACCTGGAAAACCAGAAAATACCGTCAGGGTGTACGATGGAGCTATTGAAAACCCAACGCGGAGCAACTATTGCTGCTGTACAATGTTTTATCGATGTTTTAATATTTTTCGTAATGTCCGAAATTCTCGCTCCTTCGTACGTATTATATAGGTTTATTTATTTATTTATTTTTTTTTTTTTTTTAGTTTACAGGTTTGTTTTAAAAAAGTTGTGAAAGCTACACTTACGCGGTTTGTGCAGGTGAGTTAAACTGCCAGGGGGACATAAAATAAGAGGCTAATCGTAATGATCAGTAAGCTAATTAAGTTAATTTTGTTAATTAACTTTTCAATTAATAAAAATAGACGTAGGGTTTCAATTAGAAACTTGCTGAGCGTTATCAAAAACCACTAAATCAGTCATTTTCAGAAAGACTTTCAGCGCGTGAGAAGTGTAGTAGTGCACTAAAGTTACCGCTCGTGGAGCAGGTACAAAGCTAGCGGTTGCGGTAAGGCGCCCGCGCGATTTTTCCGTCTCTTATTCAGCCCCAGCCTTGTACCTGCTCCACGAGTGGTAACTTTAGCGCACTACTGCGCTTCTCACGCGCCCAGTCTTTCTAAATTTGCTGAGACGACGCTCAGCAAATTTCTAATTGGAAACCATAAGACTATATTCACTAATTGAAAAGTTAATTCACAAATTTTACTTATTTAGCCGACTGATCGTTACGATTAGCCCCACATACTATGTCCCCCTGGCCATATAAATCACCTGAACAAACCGCATAGGTGTAGCTTTTACAGCTTTTTCTTTTAAACAAATTTGTAAATATTAAAAAAAAAATAAGAAAAACTCTGTATGCACCACATTTCCTGAAGGGTGCAGTCAAATTGGTACACTCGTAAGCCATGCAGAGCATATTTGCTTGAACAGAGAGCCCTAAGTCGAATACCAACTATTCCTTTTTCTACTTGTTATAATTTGTAACAAGTAGAAAAACGAATATGACCTCTTACAAATTACGCAAATAAAGCCTTGGAGGCGCATCCTGCGACAAGCAAATTTTAACAAAATTGACAAAAGTCCAGTTCTCCGTTGATACGAGTTAGTCTTTAGGAGTTAGTCTTTAGGAGTTCCCCGTGCACGAGATGGCCTCCCACGAGCTGTCCGCTGTGACCAGTTCCGACGAGTTGGCTTGTGACGAGTTCTCCTAGACCCAATTTTCTCATGTAGTGAAAGAAAATAAAAAAATAAAAAGTTGTGACATCGCAAAAGGCGGTCGCAATCGCGTGCTCGCATTCATCGTAAATGAACAAGAAGGGGCTGAAGTTAATGCACAATTGTGCCTTTCTTTTCCAACCCTAATTTTAGTTTAATGTTTGTTCGTTTTCTACGGCGGTACTTGTCAATATGAAATTTTATTTAATTTCGTTTCATTTATTTTCACCTTAAGGGCCCGGTTAGGGCATATATACATGTTATACAAACAAGAAAAGGAAGAAACACAAGCTGATTAATACATCCAAGTCAAGCTCATTAGGCGTACCATAATGGCCAACAAAATGCTAATAACGAGAAAAATGGATCCGTAAGCTTAATAGAAATACTTCGGGGTTCATGATGGTGACGATGGAGGATGGTAGGCTGCTCCAGTCGGAGATGGCTTGAGGAAGGAAAGGCTGACTTAATGCCTTTGTGGAACCGGAAATACGTTTGATTGTTCAGGAGTTGTTGAGACGAGAAGGTGTTCTGTCAGGAGGTGATAACAAAGAGTTCTTGAGGTCGGGGCAATGATAGTAGACTCTATGAAGAAGACAGAGGCGAGAAAGTTTTCTGCGGAGCTGCAAAGAACACAAGGTTTGTTGACTTTTTAACGTAGAAATGGAACCTGTATGAATTTCGTGTACGTCGTGTCCAGCTAGACGGAGCGGGAACTTTTCTCGCCTAAATTTAGGGGGAACGGTTATCCGCTAAATTTAGCGGAAAATCAAAGTGTCGTGGCATTGTGACGTCATGTTGCACGACGTCACAATTTTCCCCCTCACACTTACCAGAGAATGTAGGCTGCAGAAGGTCTGCTCTTCGGGGCAAGGCCACCCCCGTTGCATGCAGTTAACGTCAGCGCAACTGCACCTTTCCACGTTACTCATTAAAGTAATTAATTTACTTAAGTTGTAATTACGGCTGGGCACTTGAATGTTTAACCTACCAATTAATGGCTTTAACCGGTCAATCTGTTCATTTTTAACAAAAGAAAAGAACAAGTACAAATTTAACGCTTTCACAACGCAGTCGTGGACGAGTACACCTGTATGAAGGCAAACTATAGGTCAAATTTTGACCTAAAGTAAACGGTAGACTGTAGAACTGGAGACTTGAAACTACAAACGAGTGGAGAAGATTATACGGGTCCCAGCTACTCCAACGACGCGCGAATGTCCGTTTGGCGCAGCAGAGTCTATTGTCGACAATTGATGGAGTTGGCTATTGTCGGAGAATATCAACCAACCTCTTCCCTCTGCGGTTCAAGCAATAAGTTGTGTGTGGGTTCCTTTTGGCTGTTCTCAACAATGATTAAAAATCGGGGCTTGTACATTGCCCCGTTTATCACATATTAGGAAAAATAAAAATAAATCAATTCATTTTTAACATTTTTATATAAAAAAGTTTCATGCGTGGAATGAACGAAACCGATTAATCGATTAATTAATCGACTAAAGGGTGGCGATTAATCTGGTTATATTTTTTAACCGAAGCCCAGTCATAATTGAAATGATTAATGTTTCGAGAAATTTTGTAATCATTTGATTACCATCATTAAGCAGTAATCTTAAAAGTAACCTTTTCACTTTTTTAAAGTAGTAAAATTACTGCAACGGTTACTATTTTTCGTCCCATTTTTTTTCCACAACCTTCCAACCAAAAAATCATCGAACCAGCGGCTCCGGCAGGGATAAGATCAGACAAAAGTGGTGAATTTAGATTATGAGTATTTTGTAATCCGGTGATTCTAATTCAATGGTGGACAGTACGAGAAATCTGCTTTCAAACCGGCAGAAAGATATGCCGTTTGGAAAATCTGAAGTAGGTAATGGGAAAAGTAACTGTTACTCTTTCACGTAACTGTCAATTACTTTTCCTCAATTACTAAAGTAATCAAATTCAACACTTTATAACCAAGAGAAATAGTAACTGTAATCATTACTTTATGGAGTAATGTCTACAGGACGGAGTGCAAGCCATGTATAATTTCTCCTCACACACTGAAAACTCCACCCGATGGCACGGCCTCCTTTTCGCTTGCGACCTTATGCATTTTCTCCCTCACAGCCGGGAACGCTGCATCAGCGAACGCGGCCCAACGGCATGCGCGAGATGTAGTCGTGCAGAGCGAGCAGTTGATCGCGTTCACAATCTCTCCAAACTCCGACGAGTCCACGATGTTGGCTGGACCCTTCAGGTCTGCACAATTAAGAAAAAGCCCCACAAAGGTCCCGTTCCTCGCCAAGATTTCCTCGAACGCTTCGGCGGCACCAAGAGGAGCCTTGTTTTTCTTCTTCCGATCCGAATTCAGGGCGCCCAGGTCCATGTAATAGGCGGCGATGGCGAAGGCAGGTCCTGCCTCCTCCACGGTGTCCCGGTTCTCGGCCTGGTAAATGCGCCAGACAAAGTTCAAGCCGTTGCCGCATGCAAACTGCACCTTCTTCAGGAGGATTTGTTTCACGGCGTCGCTCGTCAGGGTCTCGGCAATATCCCGCCATAGAATCAGAGTGGACATCGACGGGATGTACTTTGACATCTCCCCCATCGTCTCCGCGGTGCCGATGAAGGTTTTGTTGACTTCGTCGTATCCAGCTGGCCGGTTTGAGGTGGCGTCTTCGGCAGCGTTCATGGAGTTGTCGTACAACATGCACGCCGAGAGTCTCTTCAGAGTTAGTTCGTTTGGCCCAGCATGTCGCATCTTGAGAAGGAATCCATCCTCCGTTATTAGACTGCCGATCCCTTCCTTTCGATAGAAGTTCTTTAAATACTTTCCCTTCACCATGAAAAAAAACATGGTCATCTCGAAGGTTTTCTTGGCTATTGCTCTGTCTCGAATAGGCTTGTAGACGTTCTGGTAGATGCGGTCAATCTCGACAGGGCGGTAGCTCGTTCCAGGCGTGCTGGTGAGAAAAAAGAAAAAGAAAACGTGGATTCCGTCATTGCTGGTACGGAGCAAATTTATCAAAATCCTTATTTTTTTAATCTCTAGCGTGAGAATCCACACGCTAAAATCGTATTTCCGCTTTTAACCAATGCACTTTATGCCAATAAGGCACAAGGCGTGTTCTGTTATTAGGATGTTAACCTGGTTGGGAACATACCGTATTGAACAGATGCCGGTGTAACCCCGCCCTAATCAGCCTCCAAATGCAATGATGTTATCGTCACCTTCTAATGAATACTGATTTGGCTTCTCAAAGGGTCACTGAAGTGGATTTTGAGATCCTCTTTCTGTGGCGCAAACTAAATCTATCTGGCCCCAAGTATCATAAAATAAATATATAACAACCATGTGTGGCTTTGTCTCCATATTAAAAGCGCGATCAAATAAAGCTACAGGCTCTTATATGATATACCTAAGAAAACGGGCGTTCCGCGATATTTGGTCGCATTTCTAGGAACGGAAACGGGCAGGCGTGATTGTAATTTTGGGTTTTCTTGGATGCTCGGGGTGCGTAGATTCAGTGTGCGCCATAATAAGACGATTCGCGCTTTTTGCATGGTGGTCTGTCCGGCAAAGTAAAGGCGAAGTATTCTAAAATTGGTGCTCACCACGTCAACAATGCGCTCAGCACAAAGCGACCAACTGAAGCCTCTTTTTCTGCAAACTGATGCGAAACTAGGGGTGATTTCGTAGATTGTCGTTTCCCCCCTCCACTAACGCACACCGCAACGAAGACGCCGCTACTGCACATGCGCGCCGCTAGCCTTGTACGCAGAGTCCCGTATATGTCGCGGCAGGTTACGCAGAGCGTTGCTCGACTGTGAGAAACGATATAGGAAAAGTCCCTACTTTGTCTGAGGCGGAGACGATGGGGAAAGAAAACTCGAGTCGACTTACTTTGTTGTAGTCGATTTGGAGTGGGGCCGTCGCTTGATTTGAACCTGGTACAGGAGTTCTTGAATTCGCTTCTTCAAGCTGTCCTTATCCATAGTGACGACGAGACGATTTGGTTAATATATGGTCCTACGACAATGGGCTGATCGCTTCTCAAAACGGAAGCGATCGAACGTAGCGCCCTTATCAAAGAGTGATGATATGAGGCACTGTATGCCGACCAACGCGCCTCTGGCAGTGTTGCCAGAAGTGAGCTCGAACGGGAAGTAGTTAGTCGACGAAGTATTATCGTCAGCCGGCCAGCTCGCGTTGCTTGCGTCATCGTCCCGTGAAGTCGATAAGCTCTGTAGTCGGAGAATGTTTTCTCGCCCCGTGCCCGCGCTGTGTGCGCCGTGTGGGTGTCTGTCTGCCGTCTATAACGGACACCTCGCCTATAAAGGCCAAACAACCGGCGGATGTAACCCGATGCCCAGGGAGGGAGAGCCCGCGGAGAGCACAGAACGCCTGGGTTTAAAGCCAGACACATTGGCCTTGCAGATCGGGATATGTTAGAGCCAGTAAATTCGAAGATATGATAAGCTTTAGTGAGAGAAAAAAAAATCGTTCAAGGATGAAACTTGTTAGCTGTTCAACATATACAGTGTGTTAGATTTTAATTCCAAGAAATTTATTTTGAAGAAAATGTAACAAGTATGTAGCGCCCCCCTCCAGTCCGCCCGTCTGCGGCCGCCTGGCTCGGCGGGCAACATTGATCACCACATCAATAAACACCGTTGAGCGCACGCGCTCCGGTCAGACATCGTCCACCCTCACAACCAGGCTGCGTGTCGTCTCTCCTCGGCGGGTGCTTCGGCCCCCTTCGTCCACGTTCTAGAAAGATCGTGACACTGGCGACGAGGAACCGTGGCACTGGAGGCTACCAACGTGCACGGTTCGACCCACCCCGCCGAGAGAGTCGCAACACCGCCGCCCGCTCCTGTCGCCATGCCGCTCTACGGGAGGCTCGAGCCGTTCGACGGAGATGGGTCCGCCTGGCCAGTCTACGAAGAACAAGTCCACGTGTTCTTCCGGGCGAATGACACGCCCGAGGGGAAACAACGGGACATCTTCCTGGCCAGCTGCGGGACCCGTGTCTTCAGCCTCCTGCTCGACCTCCTCAAGCCGGCCACGCCGCACGTCAAAACGCTGGGTGAGCTGCTCGCCACGCTGCGCTCGCACTTCAGCCCGGCGCCGTCCACGCTTATGGAGCGGTTCCGCTTCAACAACCGGAGCCGCCAGGACGGGGAGACCCTCGGGCAGTTCGTCGCTGCGCTACGAGGGTTAGCGAGCACCTGCGCCTTCGGCGACCAGTTGGACTCGCTACTCCGGGACCGGTTCGTCTGCGGCATCAACAACTCCGCCATGCAGACGAGACTCCTGGAGCTCCCCGACCCCTCGCTGGACGACGCGGTGAAGGCAGCGCTGGCGATGGAAGCAGCAGCGAAAGACGCCAGCGAGATAGCGCGTGCGGCCGGCTCACCGTCGACGGAAGCGGCGGTGAACAAGATGGCGACAAGGAGCGGTGCTTGCAGCCGCTGCGGTGCTGCCCACTCCCCCTCACAGTGCCAGTTCGTCCACGCACAATGTTTCACGTGCGGGAGAACTGGGCACCTCGCACGTGTCTGCCGAGGGGGGAGGACGAGCGGCGGCCAGCAGCAGCAGCAGCAGCCTGGTTCAAGCCCGGGTTCCAGTCAAGCCCGCGGCCAGGGTGGTCGTCGCAAGAGAACGCGGCGGGGACGAGCGGCACCAGGCCCGGGTTCGTCCTCAGCCAGGGTCCACGTCGTGGCCGAGGACCCGCAGATTTTCGACGTGTGGCAGACGAGTAAGCCTTCATCGTCTGTGCCACCATACATGGTGTCTGTCGAAATCTGCGGCCACCCCATCACCATGGAGCTGGACACGGGGGCCAGCGTGTCGGTCATGCCCGGGAAGCTGTTCAAGCGCACCTTCCCTGGCGTGTCCATCGAGGCGTCTGACGTCATGCTGCGCAGCTACTCCGGGCAGCTTTCCCAGGTCCAGGGTCGGGCCCAAGTCAGCGTTCGTCTTGGCGACAGGGAGGCAATCCTTCCCCTTTACTTAACCAAGGGGTCGTCGCCGACGCTGCTGGGCCGAAACTGGATTCACTCGCTGGGTGTTCGGCTGCCGGAGTACCAAGAAGCTGCGCTGCACGTGGTGCAAGACGTCCCGAGCCTCCTGACCGACTTCCAGTCCCTGTTCCAGCCGGGGGTGGGCACCTTCGCCGGCACGACGGTCGGCATCCACATACCCGAGGGAACCCGGCCTCGATTCTTCAAGCCGCGTCCGCTGCCGTTCGCCCTGAAGGACGGGGTCACGCAGGAGCTGCAACGGCTGCAGCGAGAGGGTATCCTGGTGCCCGTCAAGACTTCCGAGTGGGCTGCACCAATTGTCCCAGTCCTCAAGCGAGACGGCCGCGTCAGGATCTGCGGGGACTTCAAGGTCACCATAAACCCCGTCGCTACCGTCGAAAAGTACCCGCTGCCTCGGGTAGAAGATCTCTGGTCGGCTCTGTCCGGGGGACAGAAGTTCTCCAAGCTCGACCTTCGAGATGCCTACCAGCAGCTGGTGCTCCAGGATGCCGCCCGGAAGTATGTCACCATTTCGACAACCATGGGACTCTTCCAGTACACTCGCCTACCGTTCGGCGTGACCTCAGCCCCAGCCATCTTCCAGAGAGAGATGGACAACCTCTTCAGGGGCATGAGGCACGTGGCGGTGTACTTGGACGACATCCTGGTTACCGGTACCGACGACGGGGACCACCTGCAGAACCTGCGCAAAGTCCTGACACTACTACAGGACGCCGGTCTCAAGCTGAGGCTGGACAAGTGCGTGTTCCTGACCCCCAGCGTGGAGTACCTGGGACACATCATCTCCCAGGCTGGCCTGGCCCCGGCACCTCGCAAGATTGAGGCCGTGCTCAAGGCGCCGAAGCCCAAGAGCAAGAAGGAGCTTCAGAGCTACCTCGGCCTCATCAACTTCTACAGGAGGTTCCTGCCCAACCTGTCGACGCATCTAGAGCCGCTGCATCGCCTGCTTCGTGATGGGCAGCAGTGGGCCTGGAAGAAGGAGCAGGACTTGGCCTTCCAGCGCAGCAAGGAGCTGGTCGTTAAGGCTCCAGTGCTTGTGCACTTCGATCCGGCCAAGCCTGTGGTCCTCACCGTGGATGCGTCGCCGTACGGGGTAGGAGCCGTCCTGTCGCACCGGGGTCAGGATGGTCAGGAACACCCTGTGGCGTTTGCTTCTCGTCGGCTTCATGCGGCGGAGCAACGCTACAGCCAGCTCGACAAGGAAGGCTTGGCCCTCATCTTCGGGGTCCAGCGCTTCCACCAGTACCTGTGGGGCCGGCAGTTCGAGGCAGTCACGGACCACAAGCCGCTGCTGGGGCTGCTGGGACCTGACAAGGCAGTTCCAGTGCAAGCCTCGCCTCGAGTGGTACGCTGGGCCTTGACGCTGGCAGCCTACAGGTACAAGCTGGTCTACCGCCCTGGGAAGGACCTGGGACCTGCCGACGCCCTGAGCCGCCTGCCCCTGCCGGAGGTGCCTGCTGCCGTTCCAGAGCCAGCTGACGTGTTCCTGCTGGAGCAGGCCTACCCGGGGGTGCTGACCAGGACTGCGGTGGCGCAGGCGACCAGCCGGGACCCGGTCCTGTCTCAGGTGGTCAAGGCGGTTGCCCGAGGGGAGGAGCTGCGTCACCAGGCCTACAGCCACAAGACCGCCGAGCTGAGCTTGGAGCAAGGCTGCCTCCTGTGGGGTTCCAGGGTGGTGATTCCACAAAGTCTGCGGGCCAAGGTGCTGCAGCTGCTGCACGCGGGGCATCCTGGCATCGAAAAGACCAAAATGGTGGCACGGTCGCACGTTTGGTGGCCTGGCTTGGACCAGGACATCGTGCACCAGGTGCAAGGCTGCCAGGTCTGCCAGGAGAACCAGCGAGCCTCGCGCCACGTGGAGATCACCCCCTGGCCGTTCCCACAGAGGCCGTGGTCCCGCCTGCACGTGGACTATGCGGGACCCTTCAAGGGCCACTACTTCCTGGTGGTAGTGGACGCCTTCTCAAAGTGGGTGGAGGCACTGCCAGTCACCAGTCCCTCGGCAAGCGCGACCATTGCGGCTCTGCGGCAGGTCTTCGCGGCGCAGGGTTTGCCGGACATTATCGTGTCTGATAATGGTCCCGCTTTCGCCAGCGCCGAGTACCTGGACTGGCTGCAGAGGAATGGAATCCGCCGGATGCTGGTTCCGCCGTACCACCCCGCTTCCAATGGTGCGGCCGAGCGAGTGGTCCAGACCATCAAGGACAAGCTCAAGAGGAGCCAGCCCGGGGACTTCCGGACGCAGGTGGCCCGGGTACTGTTTCAGTACCGGACCACACCCCATGAGGTCACTGGCCGTGCCCCCTGCGAGCTTCTGCTGGGCCGGATGGTCAAGACACCCTTGGACGTCTTGCACCCAGACCTCCGGTCCTCGGCGCTCCTGAAGCAGCTGAAGCAGAAGCTGGCTGCTGACCGAGGGTGCCGTCCCGGGCCTTTGCCGGAACCGGGAGCGTCGGTGTACGCCAGGAACTTCCGTCCTGGCCCACCCTGGTCTGCCGGGCGTGTGGTTTCACCAGCAAGCGCCTCATCGCTGCTCGTCCGCATGCCCGACGGGACCACCTGGCACCGGCACGCCGACCATGTCAGGCCTCGCCTCGGGACCTGGCTTCCACCCTCGGCCGTCGCTTCTGAGGACCAGCCTGCAGGGGGCCCAACAGCACCAGTCGTGGCCAGCGGAGCGCCACCCACCCCGGAGGCGACAAGCATCGCCACTCCCGTGGCACCAGTGCCACTCCCAAATCCGGTCCCTGCAGCTCCACCGGGTGGAGCGCGACCGGTTCAGGCAGCGCCCGGCGTTGCCACACCTGGCCCGTCGACACCTGTACCCAGGCGGAGTGCACGACAGCGGAGGCCACCTGACCGCTACTCGCCGGGGTGACCTTCACCGTCGATAGGCCGGGACTTTGCATGACCAGACGCCGAGATGGTGTCGGTCGTGCGCGTTGTTTATTCATTTATTTTGTTTTAGGAAAAACAAACTGGGGGGGAGGAGTGTAACAAGTATGTAGCGCCCCCCTCCAGTCCGCCCGTCTGCGGCCGCCTGGCTCGGCGGGCAACATTGATCACCACATCAATAAACACCGTTGAGCGCACGCGCTCCGGTCAGACATCGTCCACCCTCACAACCAGGCTGCGTGTCGTCTCTCCTCGGCGGGTGCTTCGGCCCCCTTCGTCCACGTTCTAGAAAGATCGTGACAGAAAAACCAACTAAAAATAGCTTATTACGGTCTGTGCAGATGAGTTATACGACCAGGGTGACATGATACAGGCGGCGATTCTTGAACACCGAAAGATGTCTAGGTTAAGATTTGTTTACAAGATATAAATAACAATCGCTTTGTAATCAGTCG